TACGGGACCTCAAAGCCCACCTCCACAGTGACACACTTCCTCCAACAAGGTCATACTTATTTCAACAAAGGCACACCTTCTAATACTGCCAGTCCCTTTGGGGACCATTTTCCTTCAAGCCAGCATATGGGGTTAGAACAACTGCTTCTTCACAGAGGCCCTGCAGGGTTGACAGCATTTCTGTGCCTGGTATAGGCAACATCCGCCAGCATGGTTGCTGCTGCCATAGTTGGTTCTCTTGTCTTCCATCATGATCTGAACATGGCTCCTTCCACCCCCAAGTGCTGACACCTTCCCTTGGTCTCCTGAGCTCTCACTATCACAGGAAGCAGCGGGCACCTTATATACTAAGCCAGTGCAGATTTCCATTCTGCTGAGGAAACTTCTTGGCATTTGTCTCAAGATTCTGGCAATGCTGTCTTGAAAGTGTTTGGGAGAGAACAGGTGTGGCATGGAAGTCGCAGGTCCCACAGGTGTTTTCTCAAGGGAGGCTGTGACATGCTATGGCCAAGGGAATTTCCCAAGTGTTTTGCTATTATTGATTGTTTGATGAGAAAGACAACAGATTGCAGGGAAGGGTCTAGGCTGGACCAGAGCAGGAGGCAGCATCCAAGAGGACAGGACATAGTCTTGGGTGTGAAGCAGCATGAGTGGACATGTCTTGCTTTGGGCTCCAAAGAGGAATAAATCTCAGCAGAAGCACATCTATAATGGAAAGGAGGGGTGACAGCTCCCCCCAAACCAGGCACTTGAGAACCTCAGTGGTTAATACTGTCAACTTGACAAGATCTAGAATGTTGAGCAGGCAAACTCCTGAGCATGCCTGTGAAGAAATCTCTAGATTAGGTTAGTCTCTGGGCATGGAAGTTTCTAGAATAGATTGACTGAGGAGGAAGATCTATTCTGAGTGCAGATGGCACCATTCCATGGGCTGAGGTCTTGGTCTGCATAGAAACAAGAAAGAGAAATGAGTACAACATCCATCACTTTCTGTTTCCTGACTGTGGATGCCATGTGACTAGACACTTCACACTTCTGCCGCCATGCCTTCCCTGCCATGACAGACTGTATACCCTACACCATGCCTTCCCTCTGTGATGAACTGTGTGTCCTCTGTCATGCCTTCCCTGTGTGATGGACTGTGTACCCTCAAACTATGAGCCAGAATAAACCTGTCTTTCTTAGGATGCTGAGTTAGGTATTTTGTCACAATGACATCAGAAGAAACTAACACAAGGACAGAGTATTAGCCATCAGTGACTCAAAGAAGCGTGAGATGAGGCATTCAATACCAGCCATTGGTGGTGTGAGAGGGCCACGGACAAGCAGGTGTGTGCCTCCTTCCATGCTCTGGAAGCCCCATCATGACAGAGGATGATATAAATGCAACCTCTCTGGGGCACATGGTGGGAAGCAGCCTCATGGGGGAGCAAAAGCCGCTGGCTCCAGGAAGAAGGCATGAGACTTGGGCCCCAGGTGGTATGTTTATTTTACAATTGCTTTGTACTGAAGCCAGACTTGAAATGGTTATGCAGAGAGCCGTCACTGCAGGCAGTTAAATATTTACCCTCTCATTTAGCAATCTCAACTTTAACAGATAAAGCCCACTTCATCTATTACCTCTGCCAGGAGCAGCCTCAGGTGAGCCCATGGCAATTCCCCCCCCCCCCCAGTCACAAAGGGATGTCCCTAGAATGCCAGGCAGAGAAGCAGTTGTGTGGGCTGGAGCTTACCCACAGCAGGCCCAAAAGTGGTCACTGACAGAGGCAGGAGAGTTTGACCCCTGTCAGTCACAGCCTTTGGTTTCCTTCTTAAGTTAGCAAGTTTAACTTGCTGAGCCTCGCTTTCTCCATGTGTAAAATGGACAGAAAGGGGCTGCTCACTCAGGGCAGTGAAGCTGAACTAGATGGGGTGCCAGATACGTGACAACAATGATTGGGGGGAAGGGATTTAAACTGTGTGGGTTCAAATCCCTCCTCAGGCTAGGAGAAACTAGCTTGGTGCTCGGAGATGTTCAGTTCCTACGAACTCCAAAGTGGTTCTCATCCTGGCACATCGGGAAGCAAGCATGCAGAGATGCCTGAAAGTAGGGCCCCTTCCCTCACCGTTGTGAGCAGAGCAGGGATAAACATGGGTGTGCAAGGGCCTTTGTGATAAAGACCAGACCTCTTTGGGTGTCTGTGGGAATGTTTGGTTGGGTCATATGATGTGTGTGTGTCTGTGAAAATGTATGTTGGTATTTATGTGTGTGTTTATATATGTGTATATATATGTACATGTGTGTAAAATATGTATGAATATGTGTGTATGTTTATATGTGTGTGTATATGTATGTATGTGTGTGTGTATGGAGAGAGGAGAGAGAGAGTGTCTCACAATATCACCATGTAGCTTTGACTGGCCTAGAACTTAGTATGTAGATCAGGCTGACCTCTAACGCCCAGAGATCTGCCTGCCTCTGCTTCCTGAGTTCTAGGACAGCCAGGGCTGTCACACAGAGAAAATCTTGAAAAGCAAACAACAAAACAACAACAAAAACCAAGAGCGGTACATGTATACATGAATGTATGGATGGACGAGTCTGTGGATAAATGGGAAGACAAGCAGAGGATGGGAGAGTTAGTAGATGGACACGTGGGTGGGTGGATGGATTTATGGATGAGTGGATGGATTTGTGGATAGAGGAAGACAGGAGTGAATGTATGGATGAGTGGAAGAGTTGGTGGGTGGATGAGTAAGTGGGTAGAGAGATGGATGAATATATAAATGGATGAGTTGGTAGGAAGATAAAAAATAGGTGGATGGGTAGATAGGTGAATGGTTAGGGTACACTGTCACTAGAAGAATGAGTTGTGGATGGACGAGTGGATGGGTGGATGGAGGTGTAGATGTGTGTACGGATGGGTTTCTGGTGTGAGTGTATGTATGTATAGATTGATGGATGGGTTGACTGTTGATATGTGTATGAATGGATTAATGGATTGGTTACTGAGTGGATGAATAGATGTATGTATGTATGTATGTATGGATGGATGGATGGTTGTATGGATGGATGGATGGATGGATGGTTGGATGGATGGATGGATGGATGGATGGATGGATGGATGGATGGATACTAAGCCTTCTGTCATCTCCAGGGCTGAGACCATTGAGGAGTGTCTCTTCTTTCCTACCCCAGTCCCTAGAGCTGTCATTTTCTCCCACCTTTATCAATCTCAAAATGCTTCCCACTCAGCTTCATGGTGGGAACCTGTTCTCTTTCCAAACCACCCACAGAACTGGTCAGCTCTAGTCGTGAGAAAATAAGCCTGCCACTTAATCACCAGTGAAGTCAGTCGGGGACCCTTTAACAAAGAGATTTGTTCTGCTTTTATTTGTTGCTACAATGAAAAGCATGAAAAATTTAACAGCACCCTAATGGGGACCAGATGGAAGAGACACCAGCTTTCAGAGCTTCTCTGTCTCTCCCCCAGACCAAAGGTTCTTCTGGACAGTTGCCGGGACAGACTGCAGCCAGAGGCCTGCGCTTGCAGGGCTGCAGGTTCAGGTCCAGCTCGAGAATGTCTGTTGGGCTTCTCACTACAGTGGATCAAGTTGCAAACCTCTGGAACAATGGGGATGTCACCGTGGATCTAGATATGAAACTGGGGTCCTCCCAGGCTTTAGGCACACACCTTTGGGGTTTCCACTGAATGCTGCTGATTATGTCATAGAATTTCTACCCATAAAACCCCCAAGCTTTGAAAACCACAAAGGATTAAGCTTGATTTGGGTTTGTGTGGCACAATCATGAGCAAGGTCTCTGGGCCTAAATTTTCAGGTGCAGAAAAGAAGAGCCAAGGGGAAGACTCGTAAGGCTTGAGCAAGACCAAGCCTACAAGATCCGAACAGACACTTGCTTATGACCTCCTCATGGCTATGTGGGGAAGGGACCAAAAGTTGACTGAGAGACTTATCAGGCACATGGCCTGTTGTAGTGATAAGAGCGGAGGGGCTGCGTCCCCGGCACCCGGCCGCCCGCATGGCTAGCTTATGCCCGAAATAATTACATGGAAACTGTATTCTTTTAAACACTGCCTGGCCCATTATCTGTAGCCTCTTACTGGCTAGCTCTTACATATTAATCTAACCCATTTCTAATAATCTGTGTAGCCCACAAGGTGGCTTACCAGAGAAGATCTTAACCTGCATCTGTCTGGAGTGGGAGAATCATGGTGCCTCCTGACTCAGCTTCTTCCTTCCAGCATCCTGTTCTGTTTTCTCCGCCTCCCTAAGGGTTGGCCTATCAAATGGGCCTAGGCAGTTTCTTTATTAATAAGAAATCACTCCCACATCAGCCTGTGGGTCTCATATGGAATTTCTGAGGGGAATCTTTCAGATTATTAAAAAAAAAAAAAGCTTGCAGAGCGACTCACTATGGATCATACCAGCCTGCGGACATGCATGCATACAGTATACATAATTACTTTTTAAGTATTTGCATCTGTTATCATTGGGCTGGGGAGATGGCCCAGCATGTAAGAGCACTTGCTGCGTATGCCTAATGATCTGAGTTCCACCCATGGATAGAACTGGAGGTAGTGGCGGGCGTCTGTAATCCCAGCACTCCTGCAGGGAGATGGATAGTGGTATGTTACTTGTATTTTAATAAATAAATCTTGCCTGAAGACCAGAGGCAAAGCTAAAGCCACTAGACGTCAGGTAATAGTGACACACACCTTTAATCCCAGGATTTGGGAGACACTGGCAGATGAATCTCTGTGAGTTCAAGGCCACCCTGGGCTGCACAAGATCGATGCAGAAACAAATCCAGGTGGTGGTGCCTCACACCTTTAGTCCCAGCACTAGAGGGAATAAAAATGGGAGGAGAGAGAGGCTTAGTCTGCTTAGTCTGTGGTCACCCAGCCTTGGTAAAGGTAAGACTTCTCTAGCGGCTTGGCTGCTTTGCTTTTCTGGTTTTCGGGTTGAACCTCAATTTCTGCCTCAATTTTGTGCTACAGGGATGGGAGTCAGAGCCTGAAGAATCAGCAGGAAGCCCGTGGAGAGCCAGCCTGGAGGACTCAATGAGGGAATGACAAGGGCCGGCGCAGGCTGTGCATCCCCCATTACTAGAGCCTTCGCTAGGGTCACCCTCGTAGACCCCGGGGAGTTTCCACTGCACTAGAGTTCCACACCTCCCCCAGTTCCAATCATCTCCCCAGTACTCTCCCCTGATCCCTCCCCCGCCTACAGCCTGATACCTCCTATTTCCATCCCCACATGCCCCCAGACTGCCTGCAAAATCTATCCTATTTCCCCTTCCCAGGGAGATACATGTACCCATCTCCCTGCTTGAACCCTTGTTACGTAGCCTCTCTGGGTCTGTGGATTGTTGCCTGGTTCTCCTTTACTTTACAGTTAATATCCACTTATGAGTGAGTACGTACTGTTTGTCTTTCTGCATCTGGGTTATCTCACTTGGGATGATTTTTTTCTAGTTCCATTCATTTGCCTGAAATTTTCATGGCATTTTTAACTGCTAAATAATATTCCATTGTGTAAATGTATCACATTTTCTTTATCTATTCTTTTTTAAAGATTTATTTATTATGTATACAATGTTCTGCCTCCATGTGTGCTTGCATGCCAGAGGAGGGCGCCAGATCTCATTACAGATGTGGTTGCTGGGAATTGAACTCAGGACCTTTGGAAGAGCAGCCAGTGCTCTTGACCACTGAGCCATCTCTCCAGCCCCCTCTTTATCTATTCTTTAGTTGAAGTTGTTTCCAGTTTCTGGTTATTATGAATAAAGCTGCTATGAACATAGTTGAGCACATGTCCTTGTGGTGGTATGGAGCATCCTTTGGGTATATGCCCACGAGTGATATTGCTGGGTCTTGAGGTAGATTGATTCTCAATTTTCTATGGACTCACCATATTAATTTCCATAGTGGTTGTACAAGTTTGCACTCCCACCAGCAGTGGAGAAGTGTTCCCTTTGCTCTACATCCTTGCCAGCATGAGCTGTCACTTGTGTTTTTGATCTTAGCCATTCTGACAGGTGTAAGATGGAATCTCAAAAAAGTTTTGATTTGCATTTCCCTGATGGCTAAGGATGTTCAGCGTTTCTCAGCCCTTTGAGATTCCTCTGTTGAGAATTCTCTGTTTAGATCTACACCCCATTTCTAACTGGATTGTGTATTGACGTCTAGTTTCCTAAGTTCTTTATTATATATTTTGGATATTAGCCCTTTGTCAGGTGTGGAGTTGATGAAAATCTTTTCCTATTCTGTAGGTGGCCACTTTGTCCTAATGATGATGTCCTGTGCCTTGCAGGAGCTTTACAGTTTAATGAAGTTCCATTTATTACCCATTGCTCTTAGTGCCTGTATTATCAGCGTTCTGTTCAGGAAGTTGTCTCCTGTGTCAATATACTCACGTCATCTTCTGTAGCCAGGCGAGGTTTCCAGTGGAGGCACTTGGACACCAATACAGCCACAAAACCTTTGGCCTACAATTTGTCCTGTCTGCAAGGAGTGTTGGGAGAACAGTTCAGTTGGCACAGAACTGTTGGGAGTGACCAACCAAAGGCTGGTCCAACTCGAGGCCCATGCCACAAGAGGGAGCCCATACTTGACACTGCCTGGATGGCCAGGAACCAGAAGCTGGACAGCCCAGACACCTAGAATAGAACCAAACATGACTCTGGGAAAAAAGAAGAAGTCAATGAAATGATCCCTAATGATGTTCTGCTCTAACTCATGGATCAGAGGCTAGCCCAGTTGTCATCAGTGAGGCCTCATCCAGCAACTGATGGGAGCAGATAGAGAGACCCACAGCCAAACATTAGGCAAAGCCAGGGGAACCCCACATAAGAAGGGGAGGAAGGACTGTAGGAACCAGAGGGTCTGAGGACACCACGAGAACATGACCCACAGAATCAACTATGCAGGGCTTGTAGGGGTTCACAGAGAGAGAAGGGACAAACACAGACCCTGTATGGTGTGAGCTAGGACCCTGCATATATGTTATGGTTGTGTAGTTCAGTGTTCTTATAGAAATCCTAATAGTGGGAGTGGGGGTGTCTCTGACTCTTTCTCCTGCTCAAGATCATTTTCCTCCTACTGGGTTGTCTCTTAGAGCCTTGATAGGAGGGCTTGTGCCTAGTCTTATTGTAACTTGTTATACCGAGTTTAGTTGGCATCCCTGGGAAACCTACTCTTTCCTGAAGGGACATGGAGGGGTAGATCTGGGGGCAGGGGAGGTGGAGGTGCCTGGAGAAGCAGAGGAAAGGGAAACTTCAGTCAGGATATAATGTATGAGGGAAGAATTTAAAAAACTGGAAAGGACAAGGAAAACTGAAAAGTGACAGAGAGAGAGAGAGAGAGAGAGAGAGAGAGAGAGAGAGAGAGAGAGACAGAGAGAGACAGAGAAAGGACAATGGGGGCCTGCCTCAGAAACAAGGTGAAAGGAGAGAACTGATTCCTCAAAGTTGACCTGACTCCACATGTACATTGTAGCACACCCACACTCACACAATAAACAAACAAATAATTAGTAACTATAAAAATAAATAGTGCATACATTGAACTCTGAAATCTTGAATGACTGGGAAACCATCAGACTCACACCCCAGACACTCCACGCATGCTCATAGCGGCACTTGGACAGGCCCCAACCCCTCTGTGGTGGTGTCTTCAGCTGACTCTGGCCAGCTCATAGCTGTTTTCTGCTTAGAGTCTATAAGTCCATGAGTTTACAGACCCAGACTTAGAACAAAGCCATCGCTAGAAAGAAATCAAGGCCAGAAGAAGAGCAGGCACGGGCTGGAGAGATAGCTTAGCGGTTAAGAGCATTGCCTGCTCTTCCAAAGGTCCTGAGTTCAATTCCCAGCAACCACATGGTGGCTCACAACCATCTGTAATGAGGTCTGGTGCCCTCTTCTGGCCTTCAGGCATACACACAGCATATTGAAATGTGTATGTAAATGGTTTCATGACAATAATCTTGGACCAAACTTGTTACATGATTGTACTAAAAGAAAATTTGCCATCAAAAGGCTGCCTTCATTATCCTAAAACCACACCACCACCTAGGAAGCAGGAAATTGAAATAAGCTATTTTAGAGAAGTGGAATTAAAAAAGAAAACTGATTAAAAAAAAGAAACTGCAGGCTTCTTCGGTTAAAGACCTCCACTGACAAGAAATTTTACTGTGATCTTATAAAGTAGAAAAATATTCATTAGTTGAAAAAAATTGTAGCAAGACATTCTGAGTGATGTGATTNTTCCTGATGGCAGGAGAGTGGTTTCTGGTGGGTTTGGCTGGGGCGTGGCTATCTCTATATAATCTGCCCCTGAACACAATAAAGGGGGCATTCTTGGAGAATTCAAGGATAACCCATGTCGCTGTCTCTGTCTGTGTGTGTTTGTGTATTTTAACCTCCAGCCCCCTTGCCCGAAGCTCGCCAACTGGATAATAGCGTACAGAGCACAGACACAGAGTGCACGGCACTCAGAGTCCTTCCTAACCCTGTGCTGTAGGCAGTCACAAGAAGACCTATTGGATCTCAGCGGTAGAAGTCTTTCAAGATCGCCTGGCACTGCTTCCCATCCTTAAGGTCTTGCTGTGCCCTGCATAGCCGGTGGTCTAGGGGTTGTGATGGACGAGAGACGAATAGTGAGAACTCTACTGTGCTCCCTCTTGCAGGTTCTTGATCTTACAGGCCACTAGAAGGCAGAGTCAGAGGGCTGTTAAACCACCCTTAGATCATGCCCTTGAGGTAACATTTCTATTCCTTTCAGACATTTATTTGTTGCTTTGTCGAGACACTGTCTTACTTTGAAGCCCAGGCTAGCCTAGCATTCATGGCAATCCTCGTGGCAAGAGCTGGGGTCATGAGACTGAGCCATCAGGCCCCGTTCTTAGTTGTCCCCTTCTCTGACAGCCACGGCAAGAATCAGGTCCAGCACCATGCAGCTGTGTGGGTGGCAGCATCTGGCAGCTGCTGATCCTGCTTTATCATTTCATGAAGGCCAGCACAGATTACCATGGAGTGCAGGGCTCTATTCCTCCGGTCCCATTTCCAGGACACCTTCAGATTTTAATATGTGTCTAAGTGAGAGGTGTTTTCTGTTCAGTTTGTGGGGTTTCATTGGGGTAGAACATGCCTTTCAGCAAAACTTTGATGGCAAGGAGGCAGTTGGTTTGTGAAATGCCTTCTCTTTGTTCATAGCCCAGCATATCGCTGTAGTCCAAAGCTCTGCCTATGGGTGTTCAGGGCTGCCTCTAACTGCACGGAGCCCCGATACCTTCTGACTCCTGCCGAATGCCGAATGCCTCCTAGCTCCTCTCCCACAGCTCAGAGTGATCACTGAATTATCACATTGCCTGGAACAGAACAAGGACTCCAACTTCACTCTCAGGCTTCTGAAGCCTTGGTTTAATTAGACTCAGCACTGAAGCAGGCTCTCCCAGGGATGTGTGCCCAGAGCCCCGTGAGGCTCCCAAGTACAGTGGTTGACTGCGTTATGTGCATACATCTTCACATGCCTGTAGGCATGTGTGACATGGCCATGTGTGGTTTTTATACCTGATGGTTACGTGTGTTGAGTTCCAATCTGTAACTGAAGGTAATTCAGTCGTAGCTGTGTAGAGTATGAAATGTGGTGTGGTATGAAGACGTTATGTGTATTGTGCATGTGCATTGGTGCTGTGGTTCCTTCTTTCTAGCCTTATATGAAGTCTGGCTTTGGGTTTAGTTGCAGGGCTCTCTGATACAACCTGCTACCTTGCTGTCATCTTGTGACCCACAGTGACGTAGAGCAAGGGTTTAAGAAAGACTGACACCGCCATGAGTCTTGTCTACCCTTCTTCTTCCTCTTCTTCTTCTTCTTCTTCTTCTTCTTCTTCTTCTTCTTCTTCTTCTTCTTCTTCTTCTTCTTCTTCTTCTTCTTCTTCTTCTTCTTCATTTCTGACATACAATAGAAGCTCATAATCTCTTATTAATTTTGGTAGCGCTGGGGATTGAATCTAGGATCTCTACCATAGTTCGGCAAGCCTTCCAGCAGAGCCACCCTCCCATCCCACCGCTGCAAGCCTGTGAGCCCTCTAGGAAGGGCTCTTGATAGGTGAACAAAAGTGTTCACCCTGAGCACACCAGTCTTCCTCTACCTCCAGACTCCCCCATACTCGCTCATGCACAAAGGCATGGCAGGAAGGGCGGTGGCGGTCAAGGTCATTATTCAGTACATAGGCTTCAGGACATGAAAGTCAGATGGAAATTACAAAGCATGGACATGCATGCATTGCCAAGGAGACTGCTTAGTGAGTTGTCACTTTCTGTAGGAAGGAGGTGCATTAGGGAGCATAGTCCTGTTGCTGGTTTTGTTTGAAAGAGGGCATGTGGAGACAGGGGGTACATGGATATCGAGCACCCGGAGGTGTGGCCCCGGGAGGTGCTGTGGACTTGCTGGATCATTGCCTTTGAACTCTTCGTAAAGTGCTCCCCTGTGGTACACGAAGGGCAAAGTGGGGCTACCATGTGCTTTGTCTGAAAGTTCTGGATGCTATGGGGCTTTTCCAACTCAGATTCTCTACAAGGAAGAGGAGGATTGGAGGTGACAGCCTGCTGAGGGCCATCAATGCATTG